TATATATATATACTTGGAAAAATGTGTATTATTTTTTTATTAAAATAGTGATATTTCTGTAAGATAAAAAATTTGAGAGGTATAAATATATATAATAAATTTTAGATCTTAAATATCCCAATACATGAAATTTGATGATGGTAGATGAGACTTTTATCTAAAATTATAACGTTAGTCATATTTGAACACTAAGATTTTTTTATTATAGGGTCAAAATAGTTTTGTCTAAGTATTTATACTTCCTAGAAGTATTAAATTGGTCTTCATGTTCTTTAAATTAGGGCTAAAGAGTCCTTATGGAGGACTATTACAGCCTCAATCTTAAGTGTGGGGACCAATTTGAAACTTCTATAAATTTTGTGATTAAAATGACTCCATTTAAATAATCATTAGACTATTTTAGCATTTTGCTCATTTTTTCTTTATTTGACGTTATTTTAATAAGATTATCATTTAGATAGGATCTTATAAATGAAATGTATGTCAATTGTATATTGTCCTACTTTATGTGAAACGTCCTCAAAATATTATTTTAAGGTTTGTTTGTGACAGTTGCAACTTGTTTAAAAACTGTTGTGTGGCAGTTGTGGCAGGACGCTGCCGTGTATAAACTGTTACTGATAAGCTGACCTCTGTTTATTTTTTATAATTTTAAAACAGTTGTGCTACAATTATTTCTGAACAAATGATATTTCTGTCATTGTACTGTATTGTTATTTGTAAAAGAACAGTTCATACTTGTGCATTTCATACTTGAAAGCAAATATTCAATTTGAACATTACAAAATAAAAATTTACAACTCACTAAATAGTGAGTAGTAGCATGATAATCAAAATTTTAAAAAATAAACTATTGAAATAACAATTAATAATATCATAATATTATTTTTATAATGAACTTGATTTATGTCACTCGATAAAACATCCTTCAATGAAACTTTCTTGCTCGATCACCATCGGAGGTGTAATCCTCCAACCATCTGCTCACCTAAAGAAGTCACAACATTATGTTCTTCTACTCAAACACTTTTAAAACTTTCTCCTTAGGTATGTGGTTGTCACAAAGTAAACAGGGATCATTGTAGTCCGCAGTAGCAGTGCAATGCTCTGAAGGTATTGAAAATCCTCGAACTCATCTTTACTGAAAACTTTAAGCAATAAAGCATAGATCTTTAGATGCAACACTAGTAAAAATGTATAATATAAGTAATAAATTAAAATTTTATGCAATTATGAGCTCTCAGAGAATACAATATACAAATTAGCGTCACTACAAGAATACAACAAATCTTACAAAAAAAAAAAGTTCTTGATTGTTTTTAACCCACGTAATCCCAAACAAATGTGTGTCACATATCCATATGAAAAAAAAGGTTATCTTAAAAAACTATAAAATCATAGCACTAAAGAAGGAGAAAAACTTTGTTGTCTTTATTGGGATTTCATATGCAACAAGAACAATAGTGACGTACAGGCAATCCAGAAGAACCCTCATGGTCGAACATTGCATTATAGACCTTGAAAAAAAAACATGCAATAAAAATTTATATTAAATATTATATTCATGGTTGCATCATCGGTCATCCAGGTTGAAAAGAATATATGCATAAGAACTAAAAATAAAATTGATATTCAAAATATTTGTCACTTGTATAAAATATACAAGATTATAACTAACATATCTCTTGTGGACTCATTTGTGATAAAATATAGAGGGTTATAGCTAACGCCTCTGTTGAAGTTATCATGGACGAGCTATGAAGACCATTATTTATGTGCAATTCCTCGAGCAAATCAGTGAAAATAGTTTGTGTCATTTAGAACATGTTGTTAAACCTTGTGGGGTGACCCAAAAAATAACTTCCCAACCCGCTTATCGCCTATATGAGAAGTTATGCAGGGAGATCGAGCAACATATGAATTGTAATATTCTTACAGTAAATACAAAATAATAATGCATCTTTCCAGTTTTGTCCCTAACCAAATATCAAACGAACGCCACTTGCACATGTAGCTCTCGACCACCGTCAGCTGCCCCCTGCTCATTGTAACGAAACCCCTTGACAAATCACGATATGCACTATAGGATACTATCGTACATTATAAAATAGTGACACTTTTAAGACAATGTATTGAAGTTCCAACAATTGTTTCTAATTGCAATCATTTTTCCGCCATTGCATAATAAATCTTGTACCTCAGAGAACTATATAACTC